GTGAATAGTGGGACAGCAAAGACATCCTCAGAGTGTGAAAAAGGATAGTTTTTCTGAGAGAAAAAGGGCAAGTGAGCCTGGGACAAGGAAAAGAACACACAGATTTGTAAAGAAAGAGTGGAATGATAACAGATGGTAGCAAGCAGCTAGCATATTTGTGTGACATGACACTTTGACAGACTGATGGACTTGAGTGCCACCTCGAGTTGGTCACAACAGATAGCATCATCATTTCACACAGTATTCTGGTGAGGGGTAATGGTGCCATATTGACCAAAATAGCAATGTGTGGCTTTGTCAAGAAGATGCTGTTCCCATTTGCTAGGCTTTGTGCTAAATGTCATGTCCATGTGACTTTCTCAGATTGTATGTTGCCTCTTTTCCTGATGTGTGCTAATCATCATGCCCATCATGACTTTCTCAGGTCATGTGTTGCTGCTATCTCATTCCTGTCTTATACCAAATTTTATGCTCATCATGATATTCTCAGTTGGTGTGTTGCTGTTGTTTCTCTACCTTCCAGAATTTATGCTGAATTCCATGCTCATTATGATGTTTTCAGCTGGTGCAGTGCTATTGTTTCTTTACTTTCTGGAATTTGTGCCAAATATCATGCCCACCTTAACATTTAGGAAGTACATTTCTGTTGTCTGTTTTCTTCTCAGGCTTTGTGCTAAGTGCCATGCTATTGTGAGATTCTCAGTGAGTGTGTTGCAGTTATGTCTCTTCCCGCTAGGCTTTGTGCCGAATGTTATGCATATCATGACATTCTCAAGAAGTATATCGCAGTTGTCTCTTCCTGATCCTAAAGAAGTTGCAAATGATCTGCCAAAGTCTGCACAGGGGTCCACTACTGTAACAACCAAGAGTTAGTTACTCTGGTGCACACAAGAACACACTATAAAGAAGATGTTGAGGGAGTGGTTACCCCTTAGGCTGCAGAGAGTTTGTTGGTATACAACAGGAGAACTCGCTAAGGAGTCTCCTGGATTTATTGGGGTATATATACTAATACAGAGTGTTTGTGTTACAATAACACAATTTTCAGGATTTATTGGGGTATATATACTAATACAGAGTGTTTGTACTTATGTACTGTACAGTTGATAAAGTCAGTGGCTGATGATGTCATGGGGCCTAGCCCGCATGACCAGCTCCACTGTGTGATAGAGTTGTATCTAAAATAAGAAGAAGGCAATGTGGCGCGAGAAAGAGGAGTTTGAACAAAAGGGGAAGTGCCACGTGGCACCATGTGTGAAAGCTAAAGTGTACAAGGTTAAAGCGGAGAATGAAAAAGAAGGAAAGGTCCGAAAATTGTGTTATTGTAACAACTACTGCATCTCAGCATCTCCTTGCACTGCCCTAATTGGGACAACCATCAACACGAGAAATCCCCCCTGCCCTCCTTCCTGCCAACTCACACTATTCTTTGCTCTTCACAGTGGAAATAGGTGCAGGACTAAGTAACAGCCCCCGACATGGGCATCACTGTCTCTCCCAATCCCCAGGCTTTTGCCTAGCATCCTACCTCTATTACTCCCACTCTGCCCCTGTTCCCATCTCATCATGCTTTGTGCTAACACTGTGGGGATTGACTTATATAAGCCCAGCTTATATGCTGAAAATATTCAATTTTAGCTTTTTTCAGCCAATCAGAATGCAGATATCCAATATCTTCAGCATATAAGCTGAGCTCATATAAGTCGATCCCCACAGTGTAAATACCATACACATCATGATGCTCTCAGGAAGTATGTAGTTGTTGTTGCTTCCCTGCCATGCTTTGTGCTAAATATCATGCACATTGTGATGTTCTCAGAGAGTACATTGCACTTGTCTTTTTTCTTGCGAGACTTTGTGCTGAATGTAATGCTCATTGTGACATTCTCAGAATGTGCATTGTTGTTTTCCTGTTAGGCTTTGTGTTGAATACTATGTTCATTGTAATGTTTCCATTCTCAGTTTGTAATTTGTTCTTATATCTTTCTGAATGGTCTTCTAATCCACATATTATGGATCATACTTATTAGTATGAGAAAAAGGCATGTATTATCTTTTCATGCAACTCCCACAGCACTCTAGCAATGTGACCATTGCCATGCTGTTGCCGACATCAATGCCCTGCTATAGAAAAAATTATTGACAGTGATATCAACTTGGAGCCTGAATATTAGCATGGTGAGTCACCAAATTTCATGTAGTATTCTGTGTAGCACAGTGAAGTTGCTATTTGCTGATCTTTTCTAGTAGATTTTGTCAGGCCAGAAGCCAAGCAGACTGGTCTCATAGATTCTATCTTCTGAAACTTTTATATTCCACCAATTGTTTTTGGTATGTGGGGATAAACATCCATCTCTTTTGATCTGATTCAATAACAGTTTGCATATGAATTATCCAAGGCAGTCATTGTAAGTGAAAACACTATCCATACAAAATAAACTACAAATTATCTTATTCTTCTCCACCTGAGTTTTGTCAGTGAATGCAGGAGAATAAATACAAACACAATGACTTACTTGAGAATGAGTTTGGCAATGGAGTATCTTCTGGAATCTGTGAATAGAGCTCACAGTTAATGTTCCCTCTAGCTATGTTAAGCTTCAACAATTCTCTCTGTGAAGCCTCTACAATAGCACTACATCAATAGTTACTGCATTTTATAGCTAAGGTGCATGATTCAAGGTCTTCCACTTGATTCTGCAACACCTTGTTGGAAGTCTTTAGCTGTGCAATGGATAGTGTATCATCTGAAAATGTTCTGGTTGAGTGCCCTAACTACATGCATGATAAATAACAATATACCACCAGCATCTGAGTTATTGGTTCAGATGCTAATGTCTCAAACTTTCTCTTATCAAAACTTGAATCTTCTTTGGTTACAACAATACTATGTTCACACAAGTGAATAGTATCAGACTATTTCATGAAATAAGACTTACTGATTGTTCTCCCAGTGAACACTCAGGTGCCACCTTTTGGGATTTATAGTATCAGTCAGAGGGCACAAAGGTGAGTAGTGATAGCACCCACTGATAACTGCACTTGTAGTGACAATAAGCCTAATAAATTGGCTGAAAACAGGCAACAGAATGGAACCACTTACCTCAAGGCTGTGGGATTTGCAAGATTCAACAGTCATTGTCTAGATTCCTTAGCCAGCTCCTCTCCCTGCTCCCTAGCTCCTTCCAATAACTGTGTAAAGACCCTAGCTGTATACTGGTGACCTGGCAGCGTAGGACTTAAATCAAACAATAGGTATATGACAAGCAAGTATAAAAGAGTAAATATACAACTGGGGTATGTACAAGAATATTATGCTATTTATATAGGGATAGGCATGAGGTTATAGTGAGGCATGACATAGTGAATGACAAAGAAACATGTGTAAGGCTGATTGGTAAGGGATCTTACTAATAGATCACATGTTTTAGATAAGATAAGAGATGACTAAGTGACAAGATAAGGTGAGATAAGGTCTTTGACATCTTGATTAGATAAATAAGGAGAAAAAATAGGTGTTGGAGAGACTGGTTGTAATAGACAGCAAGGTCTCTGTTGCATGGAAAAAGCACTATAAAGGGTTAGAGCAGAGTGATGCCAAACCTACCAATAGCTTGGGGGTATCCAAGGTGCAGCACACACTGAACAATTTGAAAAATAAGACATAGTATGTCCAGCAAAACCAGCCCAGGAGTACCATACTGGTGTTTGAAATCCAAATATATTAGCTAGGCATGATATAGGAAAGTAAAAACATACCTGCACAGCGGCATGAATAATTGTCAATTCAACAAAAACTATGCTAAGCTGTTTGGAGCACAGGTCAAGCTTGTAGATTGATGATCCTTACCAAGATCCAAGTGACCTTTCCATTTGATATGGCAATATTTGTCAATGATATCTACATAATAAATTTTCCTCTGAGAAAGCACTAACATTAGTAATGTGAGGAATCTCATTTTTCTCAATTCACATTCCCTCTCCATCATGTTGTAGCTCTCCAACAACTTTCCAGTTACTCAGTTATCTCTTGGACTAGAGATTACTTTCAATATCCTCCTTTTAATATTTTTCTTCTTCCTTTTTCCTTTTATCATCATTTACTATCATATTTACAGAGTTTGGGACTCCCCTTGAACCTCTTAGAGGATATCCAACTCACAGAAATACCTCACTGACAAGCTTTACATCAGATCAACCTTGGAGGAAGATTGATGCATTGATATAGTTGCAGCACAGCATCCTACAATGGGATATCTGTCTTGGCCAATCACACATCCCTTTCTCTTGGAATCTTTCTCAGGAGATGATTTATATGATAATCAGACCACTTTCATCTTATTTTCTCTTTTCAGTCTGATCCCCCCTTTATGTATAAAAGCTATAGTAGTTCATGTATTAGTTCCTCAGTTTAATATTAATTCATATTTGTGCTTTACTTAATACTCTTTGATCTGCAATATTTAACTCTACTGCTTTCACAAGAAGACTTAGGTGGTTCTTGTTGGTTGTTATATAGCTTCAGTCTTGTTGCCTGACAAGTATATTTGAAGATAAAGAAGATAAAGACATATTTTCATACCTATATTCATCCATGGTACTCCTTGACTGGCCCTTAGTGTAATGTCAGACTCTGAGATAATGCCAAGTACTTCCCATCCTGGGCAGCATTCTACCTACCAAAATGGTTTGGCCCATGGGAAGAAACAGTTGTGAGTTAAAATTGCAATTTATAAACTCACCTCTGAGTTTTACCCCTAGGTACACCTCTATATAGGCAAACATCAGACCCACTAACTAGTCATAGATGACACTTCTATCATATAGTGAATCTATGTTGTGATGTACATGCTCTTGTTGCTAATAGCCTCCTATATATGAATGAGCATATAGTTCAAGAGGAACTTACTGCACTATAAGATATCTGAGTCAGCAAACCCCCATAGGTGCATGGCTAACATTTCCACTGGTACTGTAACAGAGAGTGCCAAGAAAGTGTCATGTTCAAAGGTCTAATCCCCGGATTGAAAGAGCATCTATTGGAACCTTCTACTTCAGAAGATGAACTACAGATAATCTGTGAAATGGTAAGTAAATCATATCTATTGTTGTTTGAGAGAACATACCATTTTCTTCATAAACAGATTCAAAAGAGTATCTTGGGTGCCCAGTCTGATGACACCAAGGGCCTTAAGGCACCAATAATTGATTGGATTGCACCTAACAACCAGGCTCTTGGTCCTACACTTCTCCACAATATCAAGAACAATCATAGCTTCCATCACTATCAAAAAGATGAACTCTTTTGTCCCACTGGCTAAGTTCCTACCTATGTGTCTTTCAGATGGGTCTAGCAACATTTTTAACACTGTAACAGATCAGGACAAGAGTGAAACTTAAAAATGGTGAAATAGAGATTACAGGAGAACAATGGCCCATTTTTCTATATGCAAACTGTCAGTACAACCCCAACAAGTCTTAGGTAGGGCTTCTCTGTGGCCAGTTTCTCATTCTGGTTCATATATTTCATGATATTGAAGATGCACTAGTACTCACTGACTTCTGTTCTAGGCTTTCAAGCATGTTTTTGTGGCACCATTATCTGTTGATCTGAATACTGAATCCCATGCTACATGTTCTGGAAATACAAGAATTCATGGAATGACACAGGTGACTCATAGCTCACTTGCTTATATAGCAACACAGGCAAGTAGTAGAGGTTTTACATCAGTTTTATTCTCATTCATTTGATTTTTGCTTAGGTTCAGTTTGCACTGTTACCACAATCTATATTCTCACAATGTGACACAGTCACTGATTCAGAAGGATTCTATAATAGTATCCTGGGCTTGCTGGAGGATCCAGACAAGATAGAAGAAGTAGAACCAGTGAGTCATTTTCCATCATTTTTTGCTACTGACTGATATTCTGCTTGTACCTGCAGTCTGCACTGCCATGGCAAACAAGCTCCCAAAGACAGTGCTCTAGCTGTTACAATAACACAATTTTCGGACCTTTCCTTTAATTTTCATTCTCCGCTTTAACCTTTTACTATAGTTCACACTCCGTGCCATACAGCACTTTCCTTTTTCGTTCTAACATCACCTTTTCGTGCAGCGCTGCCTTTATTCTTTTTTTAGACTCAAACTCTCTCACGCAGTGGAGCTGGTCACACAGGCTGCGCCCTCTGACATCATCAGCCACTGCCTTTATCAACTGTACAGTACATAGGTACAAACACTCTGTATTAGTATAAATACCCCAATAGATCAAGGAGACTCCTCAGCGAGTCCTCCTGTTGTTAACCAACAAACTCTCTGCAGCCTAAGGGGTAACCACTCCCCATCCACTAACTTTATAGTGTGTTCCTGTGTGCGCCAGAGTAACTAACTCTTGGTTGTTACACTAGCTAGAATCAGAGAGAAATGTGCTTTGTTGAAAAGGCAGGCTCATTCTAGTTTTATTAACTCACATAATGTCGACAGGGACATCTATTATCTAATTGCCCTATAGTAGTCCATAGTCAATATCTAGTCAAATGTACTTATATCAGTTGCTTTTTCAAGTGAATTGATTATGATTGTTTCATTATTAGGATGATTTTTGACAGGGGAACAGTGTCATATATCTACTGGTAATTACATGTGACACTTAAACTGATGGATGTACACCCAATCCCACAACCAGTATATAGTCAATGAAGCAAGGATGCAAGAACTACTAGCTCCAGATATAAACCCTGACAATGAAGATAGACCTAGAGGAATTACCAACTACAAATAGCATTGTAATCAACTATGACCATTTAGAATATATCCTCTGCATTATAATTGCTGATAAACATACTCCATCACTGACTAATCATAAATTTTATTATAATCACTTTTAGTATTTACATGCTTACTGTTATTTGCAAATTTCCATCTGACTTAAACTTTCATAAGGAGACCAGCCAGGCAAAGCCTGATAAAGTTGTATGAAAGTCTGGTTTATTTTACATAGTGTAAACCAGATAAGACCTGATAAGACCTGATCGAAGCGAGGTTTTCACCATTAATTGTTGTTTGCGGTCCGGATGATTAATGGGATAACAACACCCACCTTAACAATATAGACCAACCCCGGGGAAGCTCTTCTCATGTGATAGTAAGCATCTTTTGCAAACTAGAATATATGAAGGGGGGAGGAGTTCTGCCCTCTGAGGTACTTCAATCGTCTTGCGGCGTATTTTTGCAAGACCGAGTCAGCATTTGAATGAACAACTTATACACACAGAAAGAGTGGGGCTGTCAAGTCTGCGTGTATTATACCGGTGGTTTACAGCTTGACGGCCGAACAGACTAAGAGTGATGGATGGGTTTTAACCCCAAAAATAAAGAAAAATGAACTATCAGTGTAGAACATTCTATGATGTATGTAACTGGATTAGACTTACAAATGACCAGCAACGAGATCCTCTTCAGACCTGAGGAGAAGAATGAGGCTGAGAAACGAGCTAACAAAGGTGATCAGCTCATTAATATAAATGATGACAATGCATCTACACTCAATGACACTCAAATTGCCATTATAGCTGAGAGTGAGAGGTTAGTTAGTGTCGCTACGGCAATGGGTTGAGAAACAAGAGGATATTGCTAACATGTCAAATGGCATCTTGATGTCTACTTGCAAGCAAGGAAAGTCATTGGCCTGAAAAGTAAAAACAACGCTTGAATACCTATTGACGTGCAAGGTGATGGATCTATCTGTGTTTGCTGCTCCAACAAATGTGGCCACTTAGTCGCTTTAGATTTAGTAGAGAATTGTGGATAGCGTGCCAGTTGGGTTGGGCGTGTCCCATGGGCAGAAAAAGCTCGGTCTTGCCAATGACATACTAACACAACGCTGGAACATGAGGTACCTTAGCAGCCAAGCATTTTTTGGGGAGGCATCTTGACACACCTTTGTTTACCTTTAGTGATAAAGGTGAGTTTTTATGCTGCTCCTTTTGGGCAATTTCTTCTGCCTGCAATGTGTTTTTGTCCCCTGTTGTCCAGATCAAGGGCTTCGAAGGAGATAGTGAGCTGCACAGATAGTGCGTGGCAACACAGACAAGGGTTGCTTTTCCATGGTATGGGAATGTCCGCATGTGCGGGAATTCTATAACTAAATGTGTAATGTGGTTGAGATGAAACTCAGTGATTGAAATATTAAACCCCAATCTAGCAAAAGATGCGGTGAGATGTCACGGTGACCTTTCACTAAGATCACAAACAAGCTGTCCCTCCCCAATAGCATGCAAGTCCCTCTTTGGTCTACAAAATGGTAAGGAGACTACCACTGGCCTTGCTGTGTCAGAGTTGAATCCAGATAATTTACGTTCAATGCCTTCTATTGAAAGTGACAATACTATTCCTCAAGCCTTTGATTTCTTCGGCCCCAGCTCATGTCCTACTTCAAATTGCTGTTTGAAGATGTGATGTGACAATGCCCATATGTCCAATTTCATTAACTCGTCCGTGTCAGATACGGAAACCACAGATGCTACTGACATTGTATAAAGAATAGCTGCAATAGCGAGCGCGGACCCCGCTCCTGCATATCTCAGGCAAGCTTCTAATCAGAGTTTGAACGTGTCAGGCCTCATTGATGGTAGTAATATTGGTGTTTGCGCTGTCATAGAGAGACATTTGGTGAGTCACATGCTCTCCATGCACTCATCAGCGATGCTCTTGACAACACTTTCCGACATCAACTCGTACACATCCACCTCTCCTTGCACCTCCTTGACACGCTCTTTGTTCCCCTCCTCATCCTCCTCTGCAACTTTCACTGCCCCTTGCCTCCCAATTGTCATGCTTCACCTCTTCAGACCATAGGTTGCGTGCTCATAGTAGTTCTGCACAAGGCTGAGATGGTCAGTTCAACTCACTAGGAGGTTCTAATATCTCTCATTAACTTTTGCCTCTGTATCATTGCTTTTGCAGTTGAATATTCTACTTGCCATTCCATCACAAATACGCCCATGCAGACACTAATGCCACTTGGCATGTTGTTTTCGGCGTGAATGGTTCAGTATCTTGGAGACTGGATGAACACGGATTATATGAGAGCAACAAAGTCTTGTATAGGGTACCGTACATTGGGAATATCATAAAATTACAATGCTGTGTCATCATTGACTAATTGGCGGAAAACAACACCAGTGCTAATTTGTGGTCGTAATTCATATTCTTTGAGATGTTGCCTACTGCACAGCAATGGATCAATGGCATTGTGCGAACTTGTCTTGTACTCGCTGCGGACTTGTTCAAACCTGTTCACAGTATGTAGCTATGAGATTGTTATAATCGCGGCGCAGAGAGCTTGAACCGCCCATCAAGACCGTATCTAAATGATGATGAAACTATGCTGCAATTGGTAAAAATAAATGTTTGATAAAAAATGGATGCTCACAAATTTTCCAACATTAAAAAAAGCAGCCTTGGGTTTTTCTTGTCTTCAAGTGCTGACTTTGGCGGCAAGAAGAAATAGATGACTGTACATCATCTTCTTGAGCATTGGTACTATGAGCCCCTGGCTGAATAGTTTGATAATTGATCCCTGAATGATGTTGTTATAAGTATAAATTCACTTTTTGATACAATACTTACGTCAGATGCAAATTGGTGTACGTAGGCATAATTTCCCAACAACACTTGAGCATTTGTGGCTTGTTTGGTAGGCATCACTAAACGGTTGGTAGTCGCACTAATCCTGTATAATAATCCCTCAGTGAGATTTGGCGGCACAGCAATCCTGGGGGTCGCTCGGAGCATGAAACACCTGTAGCTCAACATTTGCTTGTTGAGCTATTGAAAAAACAAATAAAGTAAGAGATTGATCAGATAGCAAGAAAATCACTCACATCTCAAGCTGTTCCAATATTGAGGAAAACAATTTCTGACGTGATTCAACCCCTTCCAATTTGGATAGTGGTCACCACACTGAGTGTGGCTTACGCTGCCATATTGTCAGGGATGAACATATCAGAAGCCACAGCGCAAATTTGTATGAAGCGATGTGCTAATAGCTTTATGTGTAGAGGGAAGGGAACTGGGCCAACCTCGAGCGGAGGGACGATCAGACTGGCCACACTAACAAGAGGTTCGGGGGAGGGCGGGATGTGGCTGGTATGGTAGACTTGAGGAGAGGCACTTGGGGGGGCATAAGGCGGCAAAGATTTGCTAAGCTGGGCATCATACAAATACACAGATTGAGAGCAAGGAGAACCAGGAAAGAGGGATCCAGGATCTTCAACTCAAGTCATCTCTTCTGCTACACTCCACGCAAGCGACGCAAAACAACTTTGCTGTAGATCATTTGAAGATGTGGTTGAGTTATGGTCTGAAAAATGGCTGTTATTATGATTAAGCTTTTTAATGAGATTAGCTTACCAGCCAGTAAACCACATCTTGAAACGAGGGTCAGTTTGTCAACGTCGAGTGAGCAGTCATGAAAGTCTTCAAGTTGGAGCCGGGTATCTTGAAATACTGAAGCTACAATATTGGAAGGTCCAGAAAAGGCCAGATCAGCTAAATCCACAAGCTGTTTGGACACTAGCGTGCTTTTGTCAACACACCTTCTATTACTGGCATTATCAGTGTCCGAGCTGAAGTTGTCGGCATTGTGGGGCTGTGGCTGTTTCTGTGATCCACAACTCTGTCTACTGACAGACAGTGTATCAGACTCCATCTTCTGGATTTCACAATACATCTCTGGTGAGTGGGTGAGCTGAAACATTACAGCTGTATATATACATCAAGTCAAATTCTGAATAGGACAAACATAATTATAAAAAATACCATACGCAAGACATGCACACTGAGTAGTAAAACCAACATCTATTATCAAACAGGGTTCAGCTATAATGTTAGGTGTGAGTTGCCAGTAGCAGGTAGTTGATGAGATACACTACTTCCATGAAGACGCGTGCTGATATGAGCCGACAAACGTGGTGATTTGATATGTATAGTTAAACCACTGAACCAATCCTGAGTCACATTGATTCTTCCAGAACATCCCTATGAGGTGAAAGGGTCAGGATAGAAGGCTGATATTGAGTAGCTGATACATACTATAATGCTCATGTAGGATCCAACGAGCGGATGTTGTATTGTGGTTCTTCTGTCATAGTTCAATGACAGTGCCAGTGTGAGGTGACAAGTTGGCTTGGATAGTCTGAGTCACAAAAGGAAATATTAGAGACATACCTTGACTAACCTGGCCACCATCAGGACCTTGGCTTACAATAGGCACATACTCACAGCGAACATTCAGCGAACAGAACAACACTCCCCTCAACATCTAGCATTGGCACAAGAGACAACTGAGAGACACTCAGGCTGTGTCCGAGTTACCGGATGAACTGTCCCCTATTTGCCTTATGGCCAATATCCGTCAAGATCCGATCAGGCTCGGGATTGTCCACAAGCTCACAATAAGGCTCACGTCTGCGGTTAGACATCCATATTCTCAGTTCCTTACATTCATAGTTTCATCCCAACCTGGTCTCCTATAAGCAGACCATTGATCCAGAAGAAAGACATTCCCAACCCCCAACAGTTGTTCAACTCCTTCCGTCATTTTCTCTCATTTTTAGTCATCAGGGTTGCGTCTTGCTTATCTTTTGGTTTAAAACGTCATTTTGTAGGCAGAAATTTTGTTTCAGTACAAGTCGTATGACAGTGTCAAGCTGATGCCTTTGGCTGTAAAGAGCAACCTGAAAGCTAAGCGCTAATTGACAATCACACTTTAATTACTTACTAATACATGAACTTCACGCGGCCACTTAATTGTCTCAGATCATCTAGCCTTATTTTCATCGTCTCCCCTGCAAATTGCCTGCATCAAGGCACCAAGACATCGGCAGGTGGACATACACAATGGCTATCTTCATCTAGGTGGATTCTTCACTATGTTTCTATGGAGAAAGTGGATGTTATTAGTTGACCTTCATGTTGTTAATCAGTATGTCACCTCCTGCTGCTATCTACATGCATGGTTGTCTACTCACCACCATCGCCTCCAACTAAGCTGCCAGGTGTGTCCCATTAATGCCTTACTTAGCCCTTGAGCACAACTTACCGCAATGTCTGTCCTTCCTGCCTACGTTTTTGACCATTTTGGCGACTATCTTTGTTCTCCTTATTGCACACAGCTCAGTAATGCAGTACTTTCATGTGATCTGCCATCAATGTACCGTACCCCAGCCTCACACCATTCAACATGGCTGGCTGGCTATTACCTATCTCCATAGCACATTCACCGCTCACCGCTCAAGTGGGCTTCTACATCTGTATCTGCCTATTTCCTCTAAGTCACCCATGTTCCTGTTATCCTCACTTTATCTATGATAGCCTGGATCCTAGAGCTATGCCACATATGCCCTATCCATAAGAGGTGTGTCTTCCACAGACTTGGTTCAAACACTTCAGAACGGCTCCAACCGTCTTACAAGATTTGATATATGTATATGCTGTCCTACTCCTGCTTTGACCTTATCTTGCTCGTAGCCTCGTCCCCTCACTCGCTCAAATAGACATATAAACACTTAGTCATTTGCAGCCCTACTGTAGTTCTCATCCTCATGCCTCTCAAATTGGTGGTAAAGCACTACAAGGGCCGTGATATGGCTCACATTGAGCTTATGTTTCAATTTATGGTCCCTGCTTCATTATGTTTTTGGATGCAATGAGTTGGACGTGTTAGCCGATCTGTACAATTGCAAGTTCAACCTGTTCTTCTCGTCCAGCCTACTGCATTTGCCTACTGTGTTTCAAGAAAAGGACTCAAAGGGATCAAATGGTGATGAGCACATAATGTACGTGAAAAAAATAGATGAAGCACGATGGGCTTCGATTAAAATTTTGACTTGTCAGAGTGATGTTGCAGATGCATTTTTTGATAGCGGTCCAAGCTCAATGATTAAGGTTGCAACGCGTGACTTGGCACTTTAGCTTGGCTCCTACTAGTGCTTCCTGCAACAGTTGCACAAAATGTGCAGCCTATCTCACTCAATACTTATGTATCGTCCTCATATACCTCCAGATAACCCATCTCTAGAGTTCACCTGTTTCTATAACTGATAGGTTATCCCCCGACTCTGTTATTAACAGGCTAGCCTGTGATGCAAGGTTTTGTAGCATTGATGGCTTAAAGGGTACTAGATGGAGTCAAGGACGGGCAGAGAGGCATGGGAATGTTAGCTGTGGATGAAACCGAATGCATCTGTCTCAATGCTAAAAAAAACCACGCTTATTTGGAAGCACCTCAATCTGTAATACCAACCTCACCATTCTGCTGCTCTTGCCTCAAAAACACACTGGTTGCCTTTGCAATACTAGTTCCAGCCACACCTTTCCAGTTTATTACATCAAAGTGGTCCCATACCCCCTCAAACTACTAAGCTACAAGCCTCAGTACTCTACTGCACCAACTCTACCATTTTTCAGCCTCGTACTTCAGACCTGCACAAAAAAAACTGCACGTCCTCATATTCCAGTGTCCTTACTTTCCACATTGTCACACATGCCCGGGCCATTCACAAACCATCAGTCACACCAACACTCCATACTGCTATAGTGCATTATCCCTGTTATCCACAAACACATTCCACAATTGTTCTTTCCGACCTGACATGCCAGCCTACACGCTGAGGTATGTATCATCCTTCCCACATGGTGCACTATCACAGACGCAGTGCAGAGCCTGCTCGGTAGGTCAAGGTTTGATGATTAAGGTTCACATGGGGCATTCTTGTATTACACAACATATTGTAATTATTAAGAACAAAGCTTGAAGGAAGTGTCTAGCCACTTGCTGAGAGCAATCAGGGACTGGAACTAGAGTCCAATGTGAGTAACTGTATTATTAGAGAGTATGACAGGTATACAGTACCTAGAGTCCAATGTGAGTAACTAGAGAATAGGAAGCATTGGACTCTGCAGTACTGTCCGAAGTTTTGTAAACAAAGGTAAACAAAGCAGCCACAAAGGCGAAATAATAGAGAACACAATCAATAGTGAATGATAGAAGAATAGATAGAGAAAGGAATGAAAATATATAGTTAGCACAAAGGTGCAGAATCACCAAAACTAACAGTAATGGCATGTTTGGTACCAATCCATGACCCTGGTTTCAGGGATAGCATGTAGAATAAATGTACATAGTACCAGAATGATATTTTTTTATTTATCTCCCAATATAAGAAATAGTTAAAACAGGTAATGTATGTTTAAGAGGTTGAGAAAATACTGTGGCCAATAGACCTCCTATATCTAAAGGTCCAGTATTTCAAATGGTGCATCCAAATCCCTGCCAATGTTGATGTTCCTGCTATTATGAGATTCAACACTAGCTTTGTCAAAAATGTACCCATGACAATGTCATACAAAGTATTACAGGTTCAATCTGGCTTATAACCTGTGATCATACTGTGTTTAAGTTCAAACTTTCCTTTAGATTGGGATTATAAATATATTTTTGTCTTATATATCATACATTAGCTTTGCTATACAGAATTTTGCATGACTGTCACAGAAATAGGTTCATTTTATTTCAGGTTGTGACCTGTGACAAAACTAGTGTCAAATCTCTACAGTATATGAATTACTGACTTCATCTACTCCTCAGTAAGCTTTGCAATGTCTGCATCTTCACTAGAAATACCATAGTGAGCTGCAAGTTATTCATACATTTCTCCTTCTAAGAATCTGGTATATTTGATGTAGGGAAGAGGTAAGTCCAGTTATATGACCACACTTAAGCAGTGAAGGAGGCATGGTAATAGATCTAGGTTATGTACAAGATTTTGAAAATTTCAACAACTGCAATAGTAGCTGTGACTGTTCAGGCTGTCTTATAAGTTCTAGGGATGCCAAACTTTAGTTTGGCCAAATCATTCAAAACCAAGTACTATCAAACCAAACCCTAGCTTCAGGTTCAGTTTGGTCTAGTTCTTTACTTCTGGACTTTGATTTGATCCACAGTTTAGCCATTGTGCCCAGCTGCACATATTGGTCCAAATGGTTTAAGTTGTGGACTAAACCTCACCCAAATTTATGCTACCACCTCCAGTTTTCTTGCAGCTGTGTCATCTTGATGGGCCACACAAACTGTGTAGTTGTGTTGTTGTATGTACTATTGATACTCACTTGCACCCTATTCTGCTCACCATCACCACCACCAACCTTCCAATCCCACTACCACCTCTTTGGCCACTGCATCACCACACAAGGACATTTGCAACAAGCTAATGAGGCTGAATCAACATATTACTTTGATTTCATTTACTAGCATCTTGATGATAACAATGTATCACCACAACCATTGTCACCACCTCATCTTAACTCTCAGCCACCACCCTCCTTATGGTGCATGCAAATGTTATTATTACATTGTTTAAATTTATTTCCACCCCATGGTGGTACCATCACCACTACCACCTTGCAGAATCCTAAAGTATCACACAAACAGCATGGAATTGTGTTGTCTACAGGCTGTTTTGGGTCTGTGGGAAGCTATCCTCCCACTGGCTTCATCATCATTACCACCATCACCATCTCTGCTGTATAACTTTGATAGTAATGTGACACATTCTCGATGTGTTGTTTTAATCATCTTCACATATCACCACATCACTACATCACCACTACCACTGCCACCACTGCCACACCATACCACCATTGAAGTCTCCCATGCAAACAATGCAAACATATTGTTTACTCACTATACAAAGACCCTGCACCATCTCACCTCTTTGCACCTTCCCACTGTTCATGCTGCCACTGCCACTGCCTCCTACTACAACCATATCCTCCTATTCCCTGCCACTTTGGATACCATCCCATCATATCTGTAAGATGTGAATCAGACCAAAACAACATGTCAACACTCTGTTTTAGTTTTCTTTGCTTGCTACAATCTTAATGGTGATGATGATGTCACCACTACTAATAGCTTCCTCTTTGCCCTAAATTACCACCCAAATGCCCAGCAATAACAGTAGCCTCCTTATAATGCATGGAGATGATGTAGTCATGTCATTTGCATCATCAGAATCTGTTGAGTCTGTGAGTACTACACATCTCATAATGTGTATATGTAGCTTAGCTTGTTTGACAGTATGTCTGGCTGGACGGTTTGAGTTAAACCACTGCAGCAAGCGGGGTTACTACTCCACCACACTCTTATTGTTACACAAAGTTTCCAAGTTACAAAAGATTGACCAAGTCTGAGTCTCACTCCAATCTGCTGTGCGATATTCTACACTTTCAGTGTCCATCTATTTAGAAGAGATCTGTGAATTTCCCTCCTGATCTCATCCATCAATGTTTCAAGACTTGGGTTCAAGGGGCTCGAGATTTTCAGTTGCAATGTATGCAAACAAAAGTTTTAGACACTAATATTGTGTTACATGCAGCAACTGGTTCTGGAAAAACAGGAATTGTGGCAGGATCCTACCTCCTACTGTCAAGTCAAGGCAAAGTCACACTCTTTATATCACCTCTTTTGGCCTTACACAAAGAACACGTGAGTCTGCCATAACTTCAAGTTTGTTGACCTCCCTCAATTAATGTTAAAAATAGTTAGCAACATTTAAAGAAGAATTTGGTCTCTGTGCTACTGCTATAAGCAGTGTAGGTGGTGGTTGCTTATGCAAGCTTATGGAAGTAAGTTAAGCCACTTAGTATTAAACACTGTGTTCTGAAATGCTTCATAGGAAAGCCTATTTCCTATAAAACATTTCAGGCTATTTCCTATGACGGGGATAATAATTAGTATTGCGAGGATGAGGAAGCCAGAGCTGAAAGTAAGCAATCATTATTTCTAGATATGGCTTTTAGAGACTGGTGCATTTGCTGACAGTGATCTTGATATCAAAGTGAGCTCTCATTCTCCCATGTTTACGCCAAATTGAACTATTTTTTCAAGGCCAGGACATTCAACAAGCACAAGCCATTTTGTCATCAGATTTTCAAGGACTTAATTCATAATCAATGGTATGGGCATAAGGGTGAGGGAGTATGCTATCATGAACATTTCCAAGACATTCCTTTAGCTCTACTTGTAATTACCACAGCAGCTGTATGTCCTCAATCTGTGGTCTGTATTATTTATTTATTCCATTTTCTTTTCAGATTGAATGTTTCCTCAGGGGATATTTGAATGGTAATGAAGCTACCCAAGAATTCTCAGAGAGTGTTTTCAAAACCAGGTACAATATCATTTATTTATGTCAAATTTTTATTTTATTTAAAGGTGGGAGTACTATTTCAAAAAGCTGTCGGTGCTTCAGAAGAAAAGCCCAGTGTGGATAAAGCGAATGAGAGATGGTCTGTACCAAGACATTCTGTAAGTACCAGTATTTTGGCTGTTACCATCGTCACTAATTTTACTATAACAGAAATCTGGCCAATCTCTATTATCTAGGGATTGATGAAGACCAGATGAAGGACGAGGATTTTGGTATTGATTTTGAAGCTCTAGAGGATGCTATCATTGCACAAGCTTCTTGATAGTATTTGTAGTCACTCTCCTATTTTCTATTGCATATAGTATGATTGCTAGTATAAAATATGACTGCACTATTTTCATTTCATTATTTAGTAACATTATTTAGTAATTGAATGCAATACGTGCTATAAGTGCTTTGAGTACTATAAGTGCTATAATTGCCATAGGTGCTATAGGCCCTATGTCTACTTCAAATGTCATCATAATATTGACATTACTATAGGAGCTTCTTGGAACTATAGCCAACTATGAGATCACTATTAGAGCACATAGTGCCTAAATAGATGATGGGGTTTCTCTTACAGCTATGATCACTATGACAGCTATTTTTGCAATTATAGTACTATAAAAGCCTATATAGCCAAAGTGTTTTCCCTGATGAGTGGGAGGTGCTTACCAGATTCTCATCATCTTGCCAGAAATGGTGCAATCCAGACACAAAGTGTCTGATGTTCTATGCAAACCCAAGTTTGGCTCACACTGTCTCAATAACTACGTTGATGAGGATCACTGTGTGTCTATATGGGGTGCATCACGTTGCAAAAAAAATGCCAGCCTGGGTATCATCAGGCATTTCCTGACAAAGGACCTACTTCACTACCGATACATTAACCAAGGAAATAGCCGCCTATCTGTTGCTCAGGTTGTGTGACTTATTGGGAACAACATGAACACATATCAAGACCTTGGTTTTGTTATCCCCAGCAGCATTTCCTCTCCCATGCATATATAAAAGGCCTTTGGCTACTCAGATGATGTGCAAGGGTGCAGGGCATTGACAGACTATCTCAGTAGTAGAGAGTTTTGGAATAAGGGCTTGGTTAGGCCTTACTCTGCAGCCCAATCTCATAAATACAGGAATAACGCCCTTCGCCTATTAAAAGCAGGTGTTGTTTGAGTGCTTGTGTGTACAGATGCTGCAGGCATGATAAGTTAATCATTGTATTCTGAATTGACATGTCTGCTTACTGTTACGATAACACATTTTCGGACCTTTAGTTTTCATTCTCCTCTTTAACCTTTTACTGTAGTTTTCACACTCCGTGCCATGCGGTACTTTCTCTTTTGTTCAAACTCCACTTTCTCATGCTGCGCTGCATTTCTTTCTATTTTAGATACAAGTCTCTCACGCAGTGGAGCTGGTCACACGGGCTGCACCCTCTGACATCATCAGCCACTGCCTTCATCAACTGTATAGTACATATGTACAAACAAACCTGTAGTATATATACCCTAATAGATCAAGGGGACTTCTCAGCGAGTTCTCCTGTTGTATCCTCACAACTAACTTGTTGAAGCCTAAAGGGTAATCACTCCCTCATCATTATCTCTATAGTTGGTTCTAGTTGTGTGCCAGAGTAACTAACTCTTGGTTGTTACAGTATGTGTGTATGTGATGCTATAGCACTATTGTAAATAGTTTTTGGGGCACGACATTAAATCATATCCACTGTATACATCATTCACTCTTAAAGTTGAGCTTTCTTTATCCTCAATTTATTGCACAAAAAATCACATATTCCCTGGATTTTTTCATTACAATAACAATACATATGTATTCTTAACATGCTCAGGCTATGTGGTGGGCGATCACACAAAAAAAGCATGCGCTATGGCCGATTGGCTCAAATGCCAGTCCTTGCTCAAATGCTGGTCCTACACTGTATCTGTAATAATCCACAGTGGATCCTGAGAAAGTTCAAGCCATATTGGATTGGCCTAAACTTACTTGTGTCAAAGGAGTTAGGGCCTTTCTTGGCTTAGGCAACTTCTACCGAAGGTTTCTGGAAAACTTGCAAAGATAACAAGATTGTTGAACACTCTCACTAAAAAGGACACTGTCTGGCACTGGGGCGCCAAAGAACAGGAAGCTTTTGATAAGCTTAAACGGGCATTTACAACAGTGCCCATATTAGCATTTCCAGAATTAGACAAAGATTCCGGCTAGAAACCAACTCTTCTGATTTTGCTACTGGGGCTGTTTTGTCAATCAAATGCCCTAATGATCTTTGGAGGCCTTGTGCCTATTTATTGCACACCTTGTCGCCCACAAAGCGCAACTATCAAATTTACAACAAGGAGATAGTAGCCATCATTAAAGCTCTAGAGCACTGGCTGCACTACTTAGAAGGTGCTAGGCACCAATTTGAAATTTGGACTGATCTTAAAAATCTGGAGTATTTTATGATGGCCTAAGACTTGAACTGGAGACAGTCCTGCTACGCGGTATACTTGCCTAGGTTTGATTATGAATTTATTCATGAGCCAGGAACTTCTATGGGCAAAGTGTTACAATAACACAATTTTCAGACCTTTCCTTCTTTTTCATTCTCCGCTTTAACCTTGTACACTTTAGCTTTCACACATGGTGCCATGCGGCACTTCCCCTTTTGTTCAAACTCCTCTTTCCCGCGCCGTGTTGCCTTCTTCTTATTTTAGATACAACTCTCACACACAGTGGAGCTGGTCATGCGGGCTAGGCCCCATGACATCATCAAGCCACTAACTTTATCAACTGTATAGTACATAAGTACAAACTGTAACAACCCAGAGTTAGTTACTCTGGCGCACACAAGAACACACTATAAAGAAGATGTTGAGGGAGTGGTTACCCCTTAGGCTGCAGAGAGTTTGTTGGTATACAACAGGAGAACTCGCTAAGGAGTCTCCTGGATTTATTGGGGTATATATACTAATACAGAGTGTTTGTACTTATGTACTGTACAGTTGATAAAGTCAGTGGCTGATGATGTCATGGGGCCTAGCCCGCATGACCAGCTCCACTGTGTGATAGAGTTGTATCTAAAATAAGAAGAAGGCAACACGGCGCGGGAAAGAGGAGTTTGAACAAAAGGGGAAGTGCCGCATGGCACCATGTGTGAAAGCTAAAGTGTACAAGGTTAAAGCGGAGAATGAAAAAGAAGGAAAGGTCTGAAAATTGTGTTATTGTAACACAAACACTCTGTATTAGTATATATACCCCAATAAATCCAGGAGACTCCTTAGCGAGTTCTCCTGTTGTATACCAACAAACTCTCTGCAGCCTAAGGGGTAACCACTCCCTCTTCATTTTCTTTATAGTGTGGTTCTGTGTGCGCCAGAGTAACTAACTCTTGGTTGTTACATTAGGACTCGCTCTTCTACTCTCTCGCACATTGTGCAAAAAGACCCACTGGGCACCCGGACTCCAGGGTGAAGGAGATTTGTTTATTGGTTGGGAATATCCCACATAGCAGATAGGTGCGCTCTTCGCGACGGCCTTGTAGTGCTTTGGGAGAAGAACCAAAACCTTTGATACGCGGCCCCCAGCGTTAAGGGGAGTACTTAGCTCAGCAGTCAGTGTGGAACCGCTGTTGATTAGAATTAAAATACAAAACTTCACTTTCTCTTTCCTCTGACCAGGCCGGGCACTTGCCTCCGCCAGTCTGGAGAAGGGCTGACAGCTTAACAAGTGGGCCACCCCCTGACAACCATTCGGACCAGGGTTTCGTACGAATACTTTTATATACATTTTCAAATACTATAGTGTGGATAGTCAGAGATTGAGATCCGATACTCAGCTGGGAAGAGGTGGATCTGCAGATAGCAAACGGGGACCCCCAGTTACGTCTTTTTATTTACTTTACAAAGAGAACAAGTCGACACGTCGTCGCAACCGGATATCAACGCTCCGCTGCACAACATGCGTGCGCAGATTCAGGCGTTAGTTAACAAGTCAACTCGCCGAGCTGCAGGCAAATCCTCCTGCGGCAACCCCCTCGGTTGAGAAGAAATTCAATAAAAAAGTCGAAGTTGTCGCTGACACTGGCGCGCATTTGCCGACGATTTTGAGGTAGCCACTGCGGTGCTATCTCGACTAAAGGGACCTGTGGCGGGTCGATACGCCCAAGTTAGATTGCAGCAGTGCTACACTGCGGGAGTGTGGCCCACCTGGGACGATCTCAAAGTAGAGATCGAAAAATATTTCAAGCCGCAAGCTGAGCGTGACTGGGCATGTCAGCAGATCTGTTCCTTCAAACAAGGCAACATGAGGACGGATGATTTTGTAACCCGGTTCCTGGCCCTCTCCATCCAAGGGGGTCTTGGTAATGAACATGCAGTGGAGCTGCTGGAACGCAATGTGAACCCTCACATTGCAGAACAGCTTTATCTGCAGGATATGAGAAATGAGAATCTCTCTCAAACAGCAGAGGAGGTTCGGAAAATAGGTAGGGCCATAGAGCTCTACAAAATGCACCAAGGTGGCGAGACCACCAAAAACAACCAATCCCAGAGGTGCCCTGGGTCATCAAACCATCATAATCATTCTCACGGGTTCAAGCTGTTTGGGCTGCAACCAGGGCAGGGAGCCCCCATGGATATTGGTGCGGTCCAAGGAGGACAGATGCGCAGATTCAAGGGGAACTGCTACAATTGCGGCCAAGAGGGACACATGTCCCAAGACTGCAGAAAAGGAGCGCAGGCCGCTCAACAAAAAAATAATCAAGGGCACCATGCGCGCCAATTAGAATCCGAAAAACCGGATGATTGGCTCCAGACTCTGGCCGGTCAATCCTACAACAAGATCTGGGCCTTCTTCTACGATCAGCAGGCTGCTGAAATGAAGGCTCAGGGAAAAGAGTTCAGAGCTTAGGTCACTTGGGTGCCTTCGCTCCTATGAGCGATGAAGTAAACCACAACAAGGTGGCCCCTGCTCTGGGGTGTTGCACGAGCAATAAAGGAAAGACGGGGATGGCTCCCCAATTTGTAAATAGATTTCTAAATTTATTATCTGAAGTATGTACTTGTATGAAACATTGTAACTGTAATATTTGTGATACTACCGCTGCACCAGCATCTCCCTTGGAGTGTGGCCCCGGCGAGACAAACACTAGGGTGCTTGATTCTGGTAAAAATAAAATAGAAAAACATGTAACTTTCGATACCCCTTCTTCTTTGCTGGAGCCACCCTTTCCCGAAATCCCAAGGCGTGTGTTGATACGCACATATTTATTCCAAAAGGAGATCCGTTTAGACGTTGGTGTGGAAAACCTTGCCCGGGGCATAGTACACCCAACCAGCGCACTGCTTGATTCAGGCGCTAATGGAATCTTCATAGATCAGGCCTGGGCGGAGCAAATTGGACTTCCCCTTATAAAATTAGATGTATCTATTCCCGTCTATAATGTTGATGGTACACTTAATGCAGGTGGCTGTATCACACACAAATGTTCTTTTGTGGTCGAATACCAAGGACACAGAGAACGAGTCACCGCTGAAGCTACCCAACTAGGGAAGATTAATTTAATCTTGGGCTGGACCTGGCTATTTAAACACAATCCTGAGATCGACTGGCAGACAGGGGTTGTCACATTGTCACGTTGCCCTCAGGAATGTGTAAACTTGGGTAAACTGAATCATGTCCATCACAACGAGCGTCTTGAGAAGATAAACGCTGGTCACATTTATGAGCTCAGATCTTTAGAAAAGATCAACGATGACGATGATGAGGTAAAACCCGAAGAAGAGATTAAGAGGCTGGTACCTCCTGAGTACCATGACTTCTGGAAAGTCTTTTCAAAACATAAATCAGAGCACTTCCCAGAGGCTAAGCCTTGGGACCATGCTATAGATTTGAAGGACACCTTTAAACCGAGAAAAGGACACATGATACCACTCTCTGCTCCAAAAAGAGATGAGGTATCAAGTTTCATAGACAAACAGCTTAGGAAGGGTTACATCAGACCTTCCAAAAGCCCTATGACGTCCCCGGTGTTCTTCATTCCTAAAAAGGATGGTAAGAAGCGTATGATTATGGACTATTGTTACGTGAATGAGCACACAGTTAAAAATGTGTATCCGCTGCCTTTGATCAGTCAGCTAGTAGACATATTGGCTGGTGCCAAGATCTTGACAAAGATGGATCTCAGATGGGGGTACAATAATGTACACATCAAAGAAGAAGACGCTTGGAAGGCTGCATTCACGTGCCACCGAGGATCCTTCAAGCCCCTCGTTATGTTCTTTGGGTTAACCAATTCACTGGCAACCTTCCAGAGCATAATGAACAAGATCTTTGCGGATATGGAAGACTGTGTTGTCATTTACATTGACAATTTGTTAATATTTACAAAGTCAAACAATGAGGCTGAGCATGACAGGATCGTGCAAGAAGTCCTTCGACACTTACAGGAACGGGACCTATTCGTCAAACCTGAAAAATGTAATTTTAAAATGAAGGAAGTAGACTTCCTTGGTATGATCATAGGCCAGAACGGAATCAGGATGGATCCTGAGAAAGTTTAAGCTATCTTGGATTGGCCAGAACCTACTCGCGTCAAAGGAGTTAGGGCCTTCCTTGGCTTAGCCAATTTCTACCGAAGGTATATCTAAAACTTTGCAAAAATCATGAGACCGTTCAACAATCTCACTAAAAAGGACATTGTTTGGCACTGGGGCGCCAAAGAACAAGAAGCTTTTGATAAGCTTAAACAGGTGTTTACAACAGCGCCCATATTAGCATTTCCAGAATTAGACAAAGAGTTCCGGCTAGAAACCGACTCTTCTGATTTTGCTACTGGGGCTGTTTTGTCAATTAAATGCCCTGACGATCTTTGGAGGCCTTGTGCCTATTTATCACATAGTTTGTTGCCTACAAAGTGCAACTATCAGACCTATGATAAAGAGATGCTCGCCATCATTTGAGCTTTAGAGCACTGGTGGCACTATTTAGAAGGTGCTAGGCACCACTTTGAAATTTGGACTGATCATAAGGATCTGGAGTATTTTATGACAGCCCGAGACTTGAACCGAAGACAGGCCCGCTACGCGGTATATTTGTCAAGGTTTAATTATAAATTAATTTATAAGCCTGGAAGCTCTATGGGGAAAGCAGACACTTTGTCCAGAAGAGAGGATCATGCCAACGGCATCGAAGATGATAACAAAGGTGTTACCCTGATAGACCAATCAAGGGTTGCCAATGTTAGAATTGGGCAGGATTCCAATCTTCTAGAAGTCTTCAAGAAAGACATCTCCTCAGAAGAGAAGGTGCGCCTTGACGGCAATGAAAACTATTTATGGGAAGATGGGCTCTTCCATTTTCAAGACAAGATCTACGTGCCTGAGTCCGCAAGGATCAAGGCAATAGATAGACATCACGACACTCCAGTGGCTGGGCACCCTGGGTGGCAATGAACAATGGAGTTGATCTCCAGAAACTACATGTGGCCTGGCATGGTCAAAGACGTACAGAAATACATAAAATCCTGTTTGAGATGTGCCATGGCTAAGAATTCTCACCAACTGCCGGCCGGTAAACTTATGCCAAATCCGATACCAGCTGGTCCCTGGCAGTATATATCGATTGACTTTACGACGGACCTGCCCGAGTCAAATGGGTACAATTCAGTAATGGTGGTAGTGGATCGCTTCTCCAAAGAAGTGGTGTTCATACCTACCAATAAAACCATTACCACCGCTGGTACAGCAGATTTATTTAAAGATTTTTTATGGTCTATCCATGGGTTACCAGAAATGGTTATCTCTGATAGAGGACCTCAATTCGCTAGCGAATTCACGAAAGAGTTATGCCGGATGCTGGGCATCAAACCTAAATTATCAACAGTGTTCCATCCGCAGACTGATGGACAAACGGAGAGACTCAACCAGGAGTTGAAACAATATCTCCGGATATTTATTAATGACAGGCAGACGGATTGGGCCAAGTGGCCAAAGATAGCCCAGTTCTCATATAATATCAAACAGTCGTTGGCTACAGGAAAGGCATCATTTGAGGTTACTAGATTGTACCTCCCCAGAATGGGTGTAGAACCTGGCAAAAGCAAGAACGAGGCTGCTGGGAACATGGCCAAAGACATGAAGTCTGTCTTGGACAAAACGCACAAGGCGCTATTCAAAACTGCAGAGCAGATGAAAGACAGGGCAGAGCGTAGACGCTCTAAAGCCCCTGACTACAAGGTCGGTGACCTGGTCTGGTTAGATACCGACCACTTAAAGTTAAAAGATCGGCAGTCTAGAAAACTGACCGAAAAATGGATTGGCCCTTACCGGATTAAGGAAGTCAAACCCAACGCAGTGGAGCTGGAGCTCCCAAAACAAATGAGGGTAGTACCCACGGTCAATATTAGCCGTGTGAAACCCTACAAAGGGCCGCTGCCAGGACAGCATGTAGACCGGCCTGGACCAGTTGTAGTCACCCAGGAAGGTGAAGAAGAGTTCGAAGTCGAACGAGTGGTAGATGCACGCTTGAAGCGTGGCAAATTAGAGTTCCTAGTCCTATGGAAGGGCTATGGAGATGAAGACAGAATGTGGGAACCAGAAGCCCATCTGGACAATTCCCGTGATACTGTTCAAGAATTTTATTCTAAGAACCCCTCAGCTCCTAGGAAGCTTAGAGGCATGGACTCAAAACTTTTTAATTCCCTTTTTCAACCTATGCCCGAAAATTTAACTACCACCTCAGGTATTTGGTCGAGCCTGGAAGTCGAGCCTTAGAAGGGGGGTAGTGTTACAATAACACAATTTTCGGACCTTTTCTTCTTTTTCATTCTCCGCTTTAACCTTGTACACTTTAGCTTTCACACATGGTGCCACACGGCACTTCCCCTTTTGTTCAAACTCCTCTTTCTCACGCCGCATTGCCTTCTTCTTATTTTAGATACAACTCTCACACACAGTGGAGCTGGTCATGCGGGCTAGGCCCCATGACATCATCAGCCACTAACTTTATCAACTGTACAGTACATAAGTAACAACACTCTGTATTAGTATATATACCCCAATAGATCCAGGAGACTCCTCAGTGAGTTCTTCTGTTATATACCAACAAACTCTCTGCAGCTTAAGGGGTAACCACTTCCTCAACATCTTTTTTATAGTGTGGTTCTGTGTGCGTCAGAGTAACTAACTCTTGGTTGTTACACAAAGCGGATGCTTTATCTAGAAGAGACAATCATGTTAATGGTATGGTATTGAAGATGACAACAAAGGTATCACCCTGATGAATCAATCCAGGGTTGCAAATGTTCAAATTGGGCAGGATTCCGATCTTCTAGATGTCTTCAAGAAAGACATCTCATTAAAAGAAAAGGCACACCTTCATGGCAATGAACATTATTTATGGGAAGATGGGCCCTTCTATTACAAAGGCAAGATCTATGTGCCTGAGTCCGCAATGATAAAGGCTAAAGATAGACATCACAGCGCTCCAAAGTCGACAATGTACCATTTTCCTCCTCCTCTCTTTTTGTGATCCATATTTGACTTGATTTGACTAATCTCAGCCTTCTTAGCAAGTATATCTTGCATTAAACTCTGCTTCTTCTCCTGCAAGCCTTTCAAGGTAGGGTCTGACACTTCTACATATCAAGTGTCTCAGTAATCCATTGCTCTACTTTTTGTAGGTAAATGTACCTTTAATCTGTTGCACAATGTTGGGGTCTATTAGTGGTGGATGAGAAAATGGTTAGTATGAGAGACAAGGGAGTAAAGAGACAAGGGACAGGGGACAAGGGACACAAAGAGATAGGCCCCTCCAGTACACCCAGTGTTTATGAAAAACCATATGTCGCATATCACAATTTTCCTTGGCCAAAAAAAAACACCACTCAAAATTCACCTCTGGAGTCTGCC